AATTTAGAGGAATGACAATTTGAAAATAAATGGGGAAATAATTTTTGTAGATAACCAAAGGAAAGGTGTCCGAGTCTTTTATGCCAAAGCCAAGCAGCAGAATGAGAAGAATCTGGAGTGTTAGTAGTAGATGCTCTGCAATGCAAGTCAGTACCACCCTCAAAGGCATCTAAGAAGTAAAGATTACCACGTCTAACACCATAGCCAAGAATCACCTTGGTCTGGACGTCCTGAAAAACACAAAATGTGGGCCAAAAAATCACACTGCAGTTAAGTTGTGATGTAAGTTGACTAACAGATAAAAGATTGAAATCAAGAGAAGGAACGACAAGAACTGAATGAAGAGTGAGAGTTTTGATAGAGTAATGGTACCCTAACCAGTAATGGAGGCAGAACCACCATTAGCAGTGGTTATGATGGACTTACTGCATGGGAAACAATGTTGTAACATAGAAGCATCATGAATCATATGATTTGATGCGCCAGTATCAATTATCCAAGTAGAATTCCTAGAGTGAGCAGAGAAAGCAAGAGTTTTACCTAGAATACCTTCATACACAACATTAGCTTGAGGAGAGGGAGATGAGTCACCATCAGAAGAAGAATTGAGGGCTTTGAAGGATGGGTTGGCCATGGCGAAATTGGGAATTTAGGGATTGGAAACAGGGCGGAGATGAAGATAGATATTCCCGGAATTAAAAAACATATGATACCATGTTAAACAATTCATCGGGAATAAAATACAATCCTTTCATTCATATTTTTTCTTCTCAGATATACATACTTTATAAGCAATATTAAAATGTTTATATTTAAATAGGAAATAATATAAAAACATAAAACAACTTAAAACATAAAACAACTTTAAATATTTAAAACTTATTCCTAATTAAGTACAACAATAATTTAAATCTAAATTATATCTTCAACAGTCGGCATGCTTTGATAGGTAACGACAACAGCTTACGAAAAATTCTTCCGACGAAGGTTGACTTTTGGTGACCGGTGATAGGATTTGATGATATAAATTGGAAAATCTGAAGTAGGAGTCTGAGTTGTGAGGGTACGAGTAAAATGAAGGGAATGCCTGTCAATATGACGACTCCTATAAAGACGTGCTTGTACAAGCTTGATTTTTGTAGAACTATTCCAAGCGCAGCACAGAAGGCAATCATCATGGACACTAGAGAGAGGCAAAGGAACCCAAGCCCTGACATTATCTTGATGGGCAATCTTTTTAGGAAGTCTGTCGGAGCATAACGCGATGTTTGCAGGTCAATGTATATCAATACTGTAATGATAGACGCCAAGAGAGAGATTACATCAGCTACAATAAACACAGTAAACCGTTTTTTCTTTATCAGAAGCGGTATTCCAGTCTCTTGATGGTGGGACAGTGAAGACTGCAGCGAACATGATAGTTATAACGAGACCACCCACAATTGCAAATGTCCCAGCTGTTTCCTTTGCCCATTTTTCTCCTTCTTTCATCAGCTCCTTGTGTGTTTCAAGAAATATCTCTTCAGGCTTCTTACCATCATCATTTTTGGCTTCTCTGCTTTTGACATGCACAAGCTCCTCCACCGCCTGCACTCATTTCATCCACGTTAATGCAAGCATGGACTATATATTGCACTAGAGAGAGAGAAAACTAATGAAGATTAATGTACCTCAAACCATTGAATTTCTCTTTGCATTTGTAGAGCAGCACCGGGTCTGCGATTCAGATCAGACAAAGGTCCTAAGTGTGCCGCCAAGTGCAATAGGTTATTGCCAAACTTGTCTGTTGAATAGTTAATTATATCCTTATTTCCACAGAGATAATGCATAAGTTGGAACACAGTGTGTTTGCGATGAAGAATGGCATACGAAAATATGTCTCTTCCATGATTGTCCATTGCCCATAAGAGATCATGGTTAGCCTCCCTCATATCATTTATGAACTCAACATTTCCATGCTTTGCTGCTTCCAACATGGCATCATACACCGAACCTTTCCTGAGTTCTGCACTATTCAACTTCGCAACATTATCTTTATAATACCTTAAGATTTGTAGAAATTCATTCTTGTGTCCAAATACACTCTCTCTATTATTGGGTTCCAGTCCACATGAATCCATAATTGTCGATTCTGAAACAATGGGAGGGAAATCAAAATTATTTATGGTTTGGTTTTACTTAACAAAAGATATTTAGAAATTTGATCATTTCAACCAACAAACAATTTCAGAATTAATTTTTGATCTTAGTCTAAATGACTGACTTGGAATAAAAAAATGTCCATAGGATAAAAATAAAATTTATTAAAAAACCTCAAAAGATCAAATATTGGCTGCATATCTCATTAGTTTTTCTTTTAAGGCTTAATATCCTAATTTGTCCCCAATTTCGTACGAAAATGTCAAATTAGTTCATCCTTTAAAAAATGTGTCAATTACGTCCTCACTTAATAAAATTTGCATCAATGAAATCCCTTCCGTTAAATCCGAACAAACGGCGTTAAATCCGAACATGATGTTGTAACTTAATCATCATGGAGTCAAATTATACAATTGTATTAACATTTAGTTTTTTATTTGTTTTAATTTTACAAAATTATGTGTATTTTTATTTAATTTTATTAATGACAAAAATGTTTATATTATATTAACTTATTTGATTTTTTTACAATTTACTTTTAAACTAAAATATGGTTATTATATTTTAGATATCAAAACTAAAATTAAGATGAAAAATTATTTATATTAATCTATTTTAAATAGTTTATCAAAATAAATTCATAAAAACTTTTAAAGTACAAAAGAATTAAAAGAAAATATGCTTTTAAAATTATATCTAAATATAAGTAATTTCTGAACTTATAAAAATAACTTATTTTGAACAATATTTTTTTTCAAAATTATTTTATTTTTAAGTTTAAACAAACTCAACATATATTATATTTTTAACTATTTTGAATAACTTTTTATAAAAATCAATATTTATATTTAAATAAAAAATATTAATAAAATATCTTCTAAAATTTGAAATTTGTTGGATAGATATTGCAAAAACAAATGTAAAGAATAATTGAAAATACATTAAAAATAAAAAAAAAATTAGTTTTAGAGATTAACCTTGTTCTAAACTTGTTCCAATCCATTTTATACGGGCCTTGGGAGGTGGAATTTTTTAAAAAATTCCTATTAAATGAGTCAGAAAAATAAGACTTGGTTTTAGAAAGAATCAAAATCCACCTTTGAAATAAAGACTCAAATGTAATTTTGGTTTCAGAAAGAATCAAAATCCACCTATGAAATAAAGACTCAAATGTAATTTTAAATCTATTGTTACATTTCTTTCTATTTTTTTGAGAGTTTAATATGCTAATCAACTTGATTTGAAATTCAAATCAAACAATAAAAAAATATCGTCACATCTTTAATTCTTAACAAACATTATTTAAAATCCATATCCACATAAATTAATTATATTTTATTTTATAAACTTCGATCAAATTTAATGCTTATAAATTTATTTTACAACTTACAAAATATTATTTCAAACCTATATTTGATTGAAGTTAGTTAATCAAATAAATAATTAGAAAAAATCAAGTTTACTAAATGTGATCCAAAATGCATGCAAGATATGAAATTGGGCATGCGTGTTTATTTTATATGTTTATTTTGAAATTAAATTAGATGACTCAACCAGTTTAACTCAATTTAATTTTAATTAGACGCACTAAATTAAATCAATTCAACCAAATATTCAACTTGGTATGTTGAATAAACCTTGGTTACACTCATAAGTTAAATTGTGTATATTACTATATATTAGTCTCTAAATCTAAATTCAAAATTGTTTGGTTGATGAACACAGCATCATGAAATAACTAATGATTTAAATATTTTTATTTCTTATAAAATTATCCAATTTTAAGTTTATACCTCATAAAACAAAGCATCAGACTTTCATTTTCAAACAGTTAATTTTTTTTAGAATATTGTTATGTAGCATGTCTTATCAACATACATATTAGTCAAATGTGACCTAACAATAGCAAGTAGCACCTTTTAATGGCCATGATAAAATGTAACAAGGTGGTTTCTTTAAAAACAATTGTAAATCTTTAAAATAAATATTATTTGTGTACTTTAAAATAAATTTTAAGATAGAAAATAATTATTTCAGATTTTGAAAAAATTAAGATTAAGAAATATTTTACTAAATTAAAACCAAAATTTATTCATTTTATAAAGATTAAACACAATGCACTTTACAACAGAAAAAAAATCTTTAAATAGTAAACAGTTTTAAAGACAAAAAATAATTAATCACTACAGTGATTAATTTTTATACCAATATATAAACTTAAAATTATTAATATTTAATATAGTCTTTATTATAAATAAAAATTATAATTTAATGGTGAATTAAACTATAAAGTGGTAAAGAAACATTAATTATTAAAGTCATTTTTAATATGAATTAGTGTCAAAATTGGTTTTTAATTAACTAATGACTAATTTGGACACAGAGACGCGTCTAAATTCGTTTAAATTACTTATAGATACATGTTTATTACATGTATGCGATCCTATGCAAATATGTGATAAACGCAAGAAGATGAATGAATGAGATAAAGCAATACTTACCCACCAACTTTTCAAACATGTGCATAATTGTCAAAATCAAATCGACTAAAGTACCTGAAAGAACCACAATAAGAAGTTTAAGTAGTCGCATATCTTTTGTGCTTAAATATTATAGCATTTTGGGTTCTATTTTCAACAAACATAAAGCAGTAATTAAGTCATTATTTTTATCTTTTTAAAGTTATAGAACAGTTACTAATTTTGTTTTTACATAAAGCTCATTTATTTTTAATCTGTGATGGCTAGATTTTGTATAAGGAAATGAATTATTTTCAGTTTTGATCACTAAGTTTATTTCTTTATTCAGTAAACACATCATCAAATTTGAGTGAGTTAAGATTTAGAAAACAAAGCTCTGTTTGGATTTTAAAACTGCAATGGTATCGTTTTTGCTTCCGCTGTTTTTGATCTGAATGTCTTATTATGATGTTAATATAACATGTTAGGTCTATTTTATACTGTTATTTTATCATTTGGTAATAGAGCATATGTTTATCCTCTGCCTTGCATAATTTTGTTAGTTTGGATTTTTTAGATTTATGAATTTTGTTCTTTTGAATCATTTAATCCAAACACATATTACCAAATTAACGTAAAACATGAATATAATTTTCTTGTAATGTTAAAAGGAGATTTTAACTTTTAAAAGCTAATAAAATTAACCATATCATCATTAGATTCGCGGGTCAACGATGAACCATTTCGTTTAAAGTTTTTCTTCTTCGCTTCTGTGTCGGCTTCCCAGCATGAAGGTCTAGTGTTTGACCTACAGTGACAACTGGTTGCTCATCGAAACCTGTAGGATTTCCCGTAGCATTATGAAATTAACCTGTTGATGAGAGACTATTTTCTGGGCTTGTGCTTCTTCACCAATTTCTATAGCGACTCGTCCTTGTTCGGGATCCTTTCGGCTTACTACCATTTTGTATTGTGTTGTTGCTTGATGAAGGAATGAAAAAGGGTTTTTCTCTATTGAATTATTGTGGTGGATAATTGGGTCTTTAAAGTTTGCATCTTTATTAATTAATAAAGATAGAAAAAGGGTTTCTACCCGTCACTGAACCCTGTTCCTTTTTTCTTTATGTTAGCAATATGTTAAATATTATACCTTTCAGTTCCTATTTTTAAGGAACATAAAGTGGTTCATTAAGCCGTTATTTTTATCTTTTTAACTGCATAGAGGTTATGAAGCAATTACTAATTTTAAATTCTTTGTAGTTTCTCCCTAGAAATTACAAAGAATTTAAAACTTTAAATGCACTAAAGTTCTTCAAAATAATGAGTTCATGGAAATAAAAGCTAGCAAATCTAAGCTGCAGGTGTATGTTTTTGCCTTGGTTCAAATCCAACCGAAGAAGTAGAGGGGTTTTTTATTTTTTATTTACTTTTTTTTTCACCATTCGCCAAGTGAGTTGTTAGCCCTTGGCCGCAATCCATCAACGCCCACTACTCCATCTCACACCCCCATCATCAAAGATTCCCAACTGTGAAGAACAAAGAACGAGAACGACGCGCTCTCACCACCACCTACAGAGAATCAATCAAATACCACCACTCCTGCAGAGATTCAATCGAACATAAAATATCCCAATCGAAATTAGAGAAAGAGGACGGGAGGAAGCTTCCTCCTTTGCTGCGAATCAAAACGGAGAGAAGAAGAAGAAGAACGAGAATGACCATCGCGCCCATGCGCCCCCGCCGCGTCTCTATCGCGTCTTCGCCGCACCTCCATCTTGCCAACGAAAGAAAATGGGAGAAAAGAGAGAGCGACACAACTTCTGTCTTTTGTGAAATTTAAACCTAAACACATGTTATTATCTCGATTAATTTTTTAACTCAGGCTATAAGGGTCTACAGCCTCGGTTCTATAAAGAACTGATGCCTAAACCCTCTCAAAAAAATAAAAAATAAAAGATAAATATTTAAGCTCTTTTATGCCTCAGTTCTTTAAACAACCTAGGTAATAGACTTTTGCGATAATTACAGAAATGCCACCAATTTTAGACATCAGTTCTTTTTGAACCGAGGCATATACGTTTGTGATAATTACAAAATGACACCGCACCAGTTTTAGGCATTAGTTCTTTTTGAACCGAGGCATATACGTTTGTGATAATTACAAAAATGTCACCGTGCCATTTTTTTCTTCGGTTAAACCAATGTCAAATGTGCGAGTTAAAATCCTTCTTTTTTACTAGTGCTAGTTATATTTTTATGTTAGCCGATGAAGCTTTTATCTTGGAGAACTGCCAAGCAGACCTTAACTACTACTTCTACTATGGATGCTGAGTTCGTTTCCTTTTTTGAGACTACCTCGCATGGTGTATTGTTAAAGAGTTTCATTTTTGGGCTTAGAGTTGTAGATTCTATTTTTAGGCCATTAAAGTTGAATTGTGACAACTTTGTTGCGGTGTTTATGGCTAAGAACAATAAAAGTAAATGTCAAAGTAAGCACATTGACATCAAATACTTAGCCATCAGAGAACATGTTAAGGAAAAGAAAGTGGTCATTGAACACATTAGCACTGAGTTGATGATTGTTGATCCTTTAACTAAAAGCATGCCACCAAAGAATTTTAAGTTGAGAGCTAATGTTGAGAGAAATATATTGTGGTACATGGAAGATAACACTCACTATTAGAGGACCTATCGCCATGACTCATATATTTTGTCACTTGTTGTGGTTAATAATTGGGTAAATGGACCAAGTGTGAGAATGTTAGCAATATGTTAAATATTATACCTTTCAGTTCCTATTTTTAAGGAACATAAAGTGGTTCATTAAGCCGTTATTTTTATCTTTTTAACTGCATAGAGGTTATGAAGCAATTACTAATTTTATTTCCACGTATTTATTTTTGAATCATGTGATGGCCAGATTTTATATAAGGAAATGAGTTACTCAACTTTGATCATTAAGCCTACTCCTCTATTTAGAAAACACACCATTGAGTTTGAGTGAGTTAAAGTTTAGAAAACAAAGTTGTGTTTGGATTTTAAAGCTACAATGGCTGGAAGTATGCACATTATTCTTTCGTTTTTATTTCAGTTGTTTTTTTATCTGAATGTGTTATTATGATGTTAATATAACATGTTTAGGTCAATTTTATATTGCTATTTTATCACTTAATAGTTAAGCGTTGTTGTTCTTATAAACTATTCTTTAACCATATGTTTCCTCCGTTTTTTTTAGCCCTTGTTCACTTGAATAGATTTGGGAGAGAGTAATTGAGTGATGTGAGAGGATTTTAAGGTAAAATTTTTATTATTTATTTGAGTGTATTTTGGAGATAAGTGAGAGTGGATTTTAAAGTAAATTTTTTTAATTTGTCACATAAATCAAATTCTACACTAATTCTCACAAATTTTACTTCTAAATCCACTCTCACTTACCTCCAAAATTCACTTAAATAAATAACAAAAAATTTACCTTCAAATCCCCTCAAATTCATCAATCACTCTCCGTCAAATCTATTCAAGTTAAGAGGGGCTTAAGGATTTATTTGAAATCTTAATTTATTTATCTCATTCTTCAAGTTCAATTTCAATATTTTTTTTTAAAGAATATTATCAACACATAAAGCAAGTATATCACGATATCAATTTCTGATAAACCTCATTTATTTTATGTATGTCTTTCTCTCATTTAAGTAAGTGAAGATAACCCCTTTACCTTTTTTTTATTATTATTTTCCATCTATTTTGAAAACACGTTTTCTCTACCATAATTTTATTTTACTTTCTCCTTTACAAGTATTTTAGCTTATGTATTACATACATATTTGCATACTGAGTTAGAATACTATTCAATTATAATTTTTCATTTTTAAATACACCATTCTAATTTATTGATAAATAATGTTTCATCAGTTATTAAAGAGATTATGAAAAGTAAATTTTCTATGGATTGAATCTTTTCTTCCAAACAAAAAAAACATAATTGAGTGGCTAATTAATGCAAGAGCAAAAAGAAAGCAATAGATAAAAAAGAGGAAAATCTTACCAGTTTTCAAACTGTAAACTATTGTCTGCCAACGGCTGGCCTGTGAATATGCAGAAGGCATTCGAGCCAATTCTTGCAAGACGCGTAAGGATTGAATGGGCAGTTCCCCGTAAGATTTAAGCAATATCAAAGCTACATCTGCGAGTTCAAACCATGCAACCATTTCAGAATTAACTTCTTTTTTCTTAAACATGCTACCAACTGCAAACTAGTATTCCAATATATATATATATATATATATATACTGTCTCTTATA